TCTCTCTCTCTCTCTCTCTTTCTCTCACCATCAGAACTCACACTCATAGTTCAGGGCAGAGTTCTTAGCTGTTAGCATGGAAAGAAAAAAATAATAAATAAAATAAATTGCAACTATCACAAGTAGTCATGGAATCATGAGTGATTTTTTCTTCCTTTTTTTTCAAAAGAAAAAAATTATGTTTGAGAATTGACATACGTAATTTACAATTTCTTAGTGATTATGTTAACCATGGCTGGCAATATATATCAAAATTATGTTTGAGAATTGACATACGTAATTTACAATTTCTTAGTGATTGTGTTAACCAGGGCTGGTAATATATATAAGAATATAATAACACAATTCGATAACGATATGAATTTTAAGGTTACAGTTAAGAAAAAAAATATATTCATATCATAATTAAATCGACTTAAAATTGATATGAAAAATAATGATCAATTTTAAGTTAAACCCGTCTAATCTGAATACGACACGAAACTCATAAAAAATTAAAAAAACATATATATTTTTCATTACATATTTTAGATTTTATTATGAACTTGTGATATCATGATAATTGTACTCAAAATCTTATATTATTATTTGTTTAATTTTAATGAATGTTATTATATTTTAGTGTGTTATGAATTTTAAGTTATTTCTAATTTATAAAAAAACTAAAGAGAAGTATATAATTTTCGTGTCACGGGTCATTTTCGTATCGTGTTGTCTCAACTCGTAAAATATTCATGCCGTGTTCGTATTGTGATTTTTAAAAGATTAAAATAAGACACGTGATACAAATTGACACCCATTATTAACACCGATAATGTGTACCATACCCAACATGATACGTAGTGAAACATACGTTGAATTTGGAAATTGTTTTTTTTTTTTTTTTGCCAAAAATTTGGGAAATACTAGCTGCACTGAGTGGAGAGAGAGAGAGATAGACTTGCAAGTTGTTGAATAAGGACTACTAGGTGGTTTCCATATTTGCTTAAATCCCTAGCATTATTCTTCCAAAATCGCGTTCTCTGTGCACCACTACCACCACCAGTCCACCCGTCTCTGTGACGCCACTTTCACTTTAGTAACTAACATTGCCACATTTTTTCTAGTTTTTCTCAAAAAAATTTCTCCATAAAAATACATCGAGAATCGTTCATTAGATCAAATTTTCAATTCAAATTAAAAAATAAATTTATATGAGAGAAAATACTGTTACACAAAAAGTTAAATTTACAATTTTATAAAAAAACATAATAATAAAAACGTTAATTGTAATTCAAACTAACGAAATCGACAGACACAAAACTACATTGCGGGTGGTTGACTATTGGGGAGGGGTGTGTGTGAGGAGAGAGCGACCATGGGTTGACTCGTCCGTGCACTGAAGCGGCGATTCGGGACGGGGACCAAGAACAACAAACGCACGACTCAGTTGAGTGGACTCGTGCTCCACGGACTCAAAAATATCTGATGGTTATATGCATGTGTCTCTCATTCTCACCTTTTATGTTATTAGTTACCTAATTGTCTGAGTTCTCTTATCGGCCTAATCACTTTTTTTTTTTTTATAATTATATAGTAACATTGTCGAGTACTTATATTCAAGTCACATTCATTAGTTATTCCAAGGACAATGATATTTCACTCTATAGTTTGATTTAGAAGTACTGCCACGTTAATTGTGGCAAACCAAAGCCTTGCTGGCCAATCTCCAAATGATATTAACCACCGTAACTAAACAGAATAAATTCGTTGTGTACGTTATTTTCAAAATTTTAACCTAATATTAGGTTGAGGGAGCATACTATACATTAAAAAAAATAAAAAAATAAGAACCTCGACAAGTTAGGAGTGTGTCACCTCAGGTCCTCAACCCCACCAAATGTGACAGCAGTGAGTTTGGAGCAACAAGGCTTTAAAACCTTTGACAACATAAGTGGTCACAATAATCATGTATCCTTAAGCCACCATAATCATAGATAAAAAAAATTGTTACAATTTAGACATCGTTTATTTTACCAATTTGAGTTTAAAATTTGAATTTTGCTACAGTAAAAAACTCGCATAAAAAGTCACATTTAACTTTTTTATTACAATAAAAAAGTATAACATAAAGTCACATCTCAACTCGAATTAAAAACTCAAATTAATGAATTAAACGTGTCATTAATAAAGCTTGATAAACGGTTCAAAGCAGTGTCCTACTATAAAGGTATTTTGTCACACTCCATTCAATTCCCGTGCTGAGCACACGTGCATGCAATTGAGCTAGGCCCTTCGTTAAAACTCTTTTTCCCATGAGCTTTGGGCTTCGAAATTGTCTTCACGTTGTCTTCTCTCCTTTTCGAATCTTGAACTAGAATAGATTCACTTGGGTCTCTAGTTCCAAGGAATCCAACAGTTTTATGGATTTCATTGAACAAATATGGGCTGTATTTTTACATAATGGCAGCTCCCAATTGATTATACAACCCAAATATAGTCATGTATTTTAAGGGAGAAAGAGAGAAATAAGTTAAGACTTGAGGTGAATTAAAATTAATAGGTCAATAGTTTACATAAGTTAATAAATAGGTCAAATTACTGTTTTTGTCAATAACTTGTCTGGTTATAAACCATAACTCGACAAGTTATTATTGTTCATAATTCACGGTTTTTGTCCATAATTTATCTGGCTATGAACCATAACTTGTCAAGTTTATCCATAACTTATCTGGTTATGAACCATAACTTGACAAGTTATGGTCTATTAATTTCTATAATTAAAAATTGGCCTATATACTTTCTTAAACTTTTCATATTGACTTATTTTCTACTATTTTCGGTATTTTTTAATTCCCTTCTAAATAACTTTAATTGCAGTATTGTTCTATTATGTTTATTGGTGATTAGACACCATTTTACGGGAAACTAGGATGGTTCTTTTCTAATTAGCTTAATTTTGCTTCTTTTGGAGTTGGCTTCCTCAGAAATTCGATGCCAAAGTGATGTGAATAATTTGGCATAATCATGTCCTAAAGTTTTTAGTTTAGTTCGACGCTTTCTAGGTTAAAGATAGAAATGCTTCATTGTGGGCAGTAACCATAAAACGATAAGATTCCAAAAATTCCTTCTCTTTTTCCAAACTTTTCTTCACTGTTGAAATCGTTTTCTCTAACTGTAAGAATGACCCTGGAATCAATTAACGAAAAAGTTTCACCCTGTTCAAATAAAGAAAATGCTAATTCCTTTTCCTTTATTAGAAACCAATCAGAAAAAAAAAAAAAAAAAAAGAGTACGAGATTTATGCTACATTTCCTTTGTTAGTTTAAATCACAATTCAAATTTTTGTTGTGTTTTCTCTCACAAAAATTCAAATTTAACTTTTGTTTTTACAATATTTTCTTTAATATAAATTTACTTTTTAATTCGCGTCATCAACTTGAACAAGAGAAACGGCGTTAGTGTTAAAACCTAATATACTTTGCCTAGATATCTTTGTAAGCACTATGAGTATGCTAGTGCATATGTACTACTTCCAGTTACTTTAGGATTGTGAAGACTTTCTATTGATTATTATTAGATCTGGTTGGATTCTATAATTTCTAGTAGGATTTCCACACATATCGTAAAGTTGGAGAAATAAATGTATGTGTATATATATATATATATATATATATACACGTATACGTATATATAGCATTTAATTTGACGGAAGTGGCACCACTAAAGAAAAACAAAATTCCAACACTAAAAACTTTTTTTTCCCCCGCAGAACAGCTAGGCTCATTAATCCAATTAACTGTAGTGTTCACAAAGGCAAAAGAATCCAAATCACCATTGTCACATATGCAATATTCATTAAACTGAATAGAACCTTCTTTTTTTTGTTTTTTTTAAATCAGAACCAAACCATGCAAGGAAAACAGACATTTCAAGCCACTTGTTAATCAGGACATTTGTTATGTCCCTGGTGATTGTGCATTAGAATCCTTAAAAGAAACCGGCATAGCATAATAATATATTGTCTGCTGTTGAAAACATTAAAAAATGTTCGGTCTTCCAACAAATGTCCACCATCAAGTCACATCTTACAACAAACAAACAAAGATACAAAGAGAACAACATCCTAACATTACTTTTAATTACTAAACCGAACAATGGATCGTCGACAGGCAGAACAACGACATGTAAACCGTGTTGTTTTGCTTCCATTCTCATGTGATAAGCCAAATCTTCGACTCTTATGTCAGCGCTTCGATGGTCTGTTGCAACACGTTACAAATCTTCCGATGATGTTTTTCATGGGAAGGGATCCCCTGTTAGTTTAGTACACATGGGAAAAGATTTCGAAAGGAGAAAAATGAAGAGAAAACGATTAGTGTCAAGAAGAACCAGCGCGTTTTAGGGTTCCAACAATGTCCAAAGAAGGGAAGCTAAAAAGGAAAATATAAGGAGGAAGTAGAGTTGCTTGAGAATGCTCACCAAAAGTGGGAATCATAGCTTTTGTTACGGTTGTCTCCCAGCACATAAACATGACCTTTAGGCACCCGCTGCAAACTCAAAAGAAGCTGAATATTAGCTACAAAGCAACAGATTGTGGCCAAAGAAAGAATGGAGAATTGGAGGAACTTAAAATGGCCTGCAATGAACGAAAAAACACGAGCGTTTATAATGGAAATTTGGATTTTACGGGGTTATTCACGCCTAAAAAGAGCGTGTTAAAATGAAAAGAAAAGAAAAAATGGCATCAGAAAGGAGTGGCTCACAGCTAAATTTGATGTATATTTAGGTGGTTCTGCTATAAAATCTTCCTTCTGTGGAATTCCATTCACGTAGAGTAATCCATTATTAACCTGCAAGATGTAATTGGTGGAAATCAGTACAAGAACTTGAGTAGTGAACATCACTCCTAAAAACAATTCTCTTTTTGAGGTAATTGTTGGATGTAATTGTTCTTTCTTTTTTCAATCAAATTTTCTCTTTTTGAGGTTTCATGATTAAAAGAAGAAAACATAAGTCATCAATAATGCATGTACTTTGCACACAAAGTACAAAATTAAAGGCGACGCGTAAATAGTCATATATATACCTCAACAAAGTCCCCTGCTTTTGCAACAATTCTCTTTATGAAAACGTTCTTTTCCGTGTCTTCTGACGGCTAGAAACAAACCAAAGAAAAGAAATCAGCATAACTTCTGAGAAGAAAGCAACGACTAACTAGGACTATACATGTGAGTTCAATGCTGCAACAACAAACCTGTGTTGGATCAAAGAATGTCACAATGTCATTTATGGCAGGACTTCTTATGTAATATGAAGCCTGGAGAAGTTAACGTCAATAACCATAATGTTAGTCAAAATAACAGGTACTAAACCAAAACAAAAAAAAAAAAAACTACAATGAAAAAGTGTTGCAATAAATATTTTATTGCTTGTAATATTGGATTTAGTGTTATCATAAATGTATGACCTTAGGCCTGGTTGATCTATAACAATCCACTAAACTCAAACCGTAATTAAGCCGTTAATTTCCAGCATCTTCCAATCCAAGATTATGAGATTATGAAAGTACGGAGGCTAATTGTTACCCTAAACAAAGAATTTCAGAGACATAGATGAGGAGTTCTCTTTGTGTTTTTTTTTTTTTTTTCTTTCTTTCTTAATCAAGTGAAATTTTAGGGCTGAAAATGCGTAGATCTCACACTTAAGATGAAGCACTATAAATCTGGTTGTGTGCTTGTATTTCTTTTCTCTAATTTATTGCACTCCATAATAATGCATTGGGTGTCTAATTCTTAACCGATTAACCATGATTACTCCTTCCATGTTTTTCTTGTTTTGGGTGACACCAATCTACATAGTTGGCTGTGGAAATTACTGTAAATTTATATAAAAAACTATGGAAATTGCAAATGAATTTGTCAAACACGATTAACATTGTGTACACCAACTTCCTATAAAATGGAAAAAACGATAAGGCAGAACTTGCAGATGCCAAGCAAGCAAGAAGAGCCAAAAGATTTAAGGATTTCGCAACCTTTTCGACGATGATACGATCGCCGACACGGAGAGTCGGGTACATAGAAGAAGATGGAATGAAGCGAATCTCAGAAAGCATGGACCAGAGAAGAAACACCACCAACAGTCTCATGAACCCATCAAGCCCCGGCCACCGGAGAAACCCCCAACTCTGGCATGGCATCCACCGCAGGGAAGGGTAAGCAATTAGGAAATGAGACAACGAAGAGGGTCTTGAGAGGAAACTCATGGCAAAACCAGATTTTGGTACAATCTGAACAAAGAAAAAAAATGGAAGAAAAAAAATGATAATAAGAACAAAATGTGATGGGGGGGTTTTGGGCTTCGAGGAAAGTACGGTTATTCAGTTCCTCCGAATCCAAGCATAATATACAAGCGATTGACTTTTTGTTAGGAAAAGTCCCGGGTGATCAAAATACGCGTTCGAAACAGAATAGAAGTGAAAGAAGTAGACGGAAAAGGCTTTCGATTGGTGGGAAATGTCGATCAGAGACAGAGAACAGAGATTTCGAGCTCAAGAATGAAGTGGGACGAGCATTATGGCAAGTGGGTTTTCTCGTTTTTGTGAGAATTTTGAATCAGGAGGAGACGATAGCCATGGCAGAGCTTGCTCGAACTTGGGAAACAGAGACGATAGTGTATGGAAAAGTATATGGAGAGAGAGAGAGAGAGAGAGAGCTTTTCTTGGTGAGTAAGTTTTTAATGAAGCCGCCAGGCTGACTGTTGAGTGTTGTCAGACACGCGTTGGTCGAGGCTTGGTAACGACTAACCAACCATCAAGAGTCAGTTGGCGTTACACGCGCTAAAAAACGACGCCCTTCGTAGTTCATACTAGGGCCGGTAACATGGGTCACGACACGACGACACGACTCAAAAATGATACGAATTTTATGGGTTATGGTTGAGAAAAAAGAAGTTCGGGTTAGAATCGGGTCGACCTGAAATTGACACGAAAAACATGGATCAATTTCAGATTGGACCCGCCTAACCCGAACACGACACGAAACTCATAAAAAACAAAAAAATACATATATTTTTCATTTCATATTTTAAATTTTATTATGAACTTGTGATATCATGATATTTATACTCAAAATCTTATATTATTATTTGCTTAATTTCAATGGATGTTATTATAATTTAGTGTGTTATGAATTTTAAGTTATTTCTAATATGTAAAAAACTAAATAAAAATATACAATTTTCGTATCAATTTCGGGTTCACGGGTCAATTTCGTGTCACGGGTCATTTTCAGGTCGTGTCGTGTCAACTCGTAAAGTGGTCGTGTCGTGTTCGTGTTGCGGTTTTTAAAAAATTTCATGTCATGAGTCGTGTTCAGGTTGACTGTAAATTTATAAAAAATGATTAAAACACGACACGTGATACGAATTACCACCCCTAATTCATACTTCATAAGTTCATAAAAAAAAAAAAGTGTGAAGATTTTGTCCAATCAGTAATAATCAAGATAAAAGGATCTGTTCATAAGTGTTACATGGCGAAATTTAGGAGGCCATTGCACGACTTTAGGTGCTATATATTGTCCCAACATATCGAATCTTTTACTAGATTGATAATCAGCTTATTCATTTGAGAGCCGAAAGTCAGGCCGATGGCCCCAATGGGATTTTTGAAATAAAGAGATAAATAAGTTAAGACTTGAGATGAATTAAAATTAATAGATTAATAATTTATATAAGTTAATAAATAAGTTAAATTACTGTTTTCGTTCATAATTTATCCGGTTATGAACTATAACTTGATAAATTATTGTCCATAATTTATCTGATTATGAACTATAACTTGACAAGTTTATCCATAACTTATTTAGTTATGAACCATAACTTAACAAATTTATCCATAACTTATCTAATTATGAACTATAACTTAATAAATTATTATATGTTAATTTCTATAACTAAAAAATAACTTATATATTTTTTTAAACTTTTCATATTAATATATTTCCTACTGTTTTCTGATATTTTTTTAGCCCGGTCCGCTAATTTAATTGGGACAGGAGGGGCCTAGGGAATGTAAGGCCTGACAGGCCCGCTCTGAACATTTATAAGGAGAAATTGTAGTGAATAAGCCTCCTTTTATAACTTGTCGAAGCAGTTCTGAGGAGAGAGAGAGAGAGAGGAGGGGGAGAGAACAAAATTAGGTGCTGGTTTGTATCGGGAGAGAAGGGAGAAAATAAGATTGGGGTATTTTAGGAATTTTATGTGGGTATAAATCTAGATTTACATTCTAATAGCTTATTTACTAACTAATTTTAAATCTTGACATATTAATTTTTATTCCTATCCCACTTTGATTTATTTTTCTCGTTTTTCTTTATAAGAATCGGTAAACTCACATTTGAATGATTGTTGTAAAATTTTTATAATCTAAAAAGTAAAAATCTAAAACTCTTACATTTTCAAAGATATTTATCTCTTTTTTTTTTCTAAACTTTTATATACATATAAAATTTTGATCAGGCGTGGCTCATAAATACTAGCCGGGGACGATCCGGTTTAGACATTAAAGCATACTAGGGGGGTCTGTAACGCTCCTAAATAGGAGTTATGCAATTTAAATAAAATAACTATGAACAAATGATACAAAAATAAAATGTAAATCTCAAATTACAAAAGATAAGTGCCCATTAGACTTTTAAAGAAAATCTCAAAATAAAACTACAAGACGACAAAACATAACAAAACTAAAAGCCCACAGTATATTGTAGCACCAATTAAAAATACATAAGTAGTACAATCATCATCGGTTAAATCTCAATTAAAGATAACATTATCAGAGTCTGAACAATCTTAGAATCTTACATAACTAGAGAAGAGAACCAAAGTAAATGGAAGAATCTCCAACACGTCGCGTACCGCGGGGCGTCTACTTCTCGTCAAAAATATTACACTGTACATCGCCTGAAAAGTGAAGATAAAAGGGTGAGCATGTAAATATCCAGTATAAAAGGGTGAGCATGTAAATATCCAGTGGGAGAATTATTACTCACTTTTAGTTTTATTAATTTACCTTATTAAATCTACATGGTTAGTCTCTTTATGTTTCCAATCGTTCATAAGTTATATATATATATATATATATATATATATATATATATATATATATATATATATA